ATTGGTTTTAGCACTGGAAATGGCTTGAAACTGAGCTCAAAGTAGCGGAAATGTTAAATTTTTGTCAATGTTCAAGAGTAAACAAACGACCTCACACGTCTAATACACACCAGCTGGTGGGTCTAATATACATTCACAAATGTGTTGATGATATTTATACAATTATTACAATGTTGCATAACAGTAAATCTTCTATTTTTTTGGTTTGAATAAAAATTCATTATGTGAATAAAAAATCAAAATTGAATTCATTTGTAAAGCCTCAAAACATAACTAATGAACAGAGGAAATGTTAGTTTAGCGCCAGGAATGTCTGCATTGTTTATTCTGGGTCCTATTTTGAAATTGGAATATTTTGAACTTTGTGTTAAATTGGCCAAATTACTAATTTCCGTTCACTTTATTTTGTAGTTGAAACAGTTGACTGGGCGATTTATTGTGGTTAATCGATAGAATAGAAGTAATACTAGTGAAATAGCTAAAAATTTGGTCGACTGGAATAATGTAATTGGCCGAAAATGGGAGTCAAAGTCGGCAAAATCTCTGATTCATAAATATCGCTGACACATCAAAATTCGCGAGCATAATTTCATCAATTTTCCATCAAATTTCATGCTTTTTGTTTTATTATCTTCAGAAAAAGATTCTCTACCATTTCATAAGAAAAAATAAAAAATTTTTTTTTTGAAAATTCTTGGACCCTGGTGCACACTTTGAAATTTGGCCTCTGGACTCTGAAAGGGTTAAGTTTTCTCAACCTGAACAGAAGGTTTTGACATTTTCTCGTTAGACACTTGTTGATGTACACTCCATTTTTCATTGTAATTGCTGATTTAATTAGGTCCTTTTTTCTATAATGTGTATGAAGTCTGATCATATTACTGTGTTTACTCCCTTGTTTTCCTAGCAAACGCGTTTCTTTGATTTCATTGCTTTGCACGATAACTCATACGTGGTCATGTATTATCCTGATGGCAGTTTCTTTGCACTGGGCTTGGGTTATGTCACTAGGAATGTGAGGGCTGTTTTTTATAACTGCATCAGACAACTTATCTTGTTCAGTTTTGTCGTCTTGGAAATCAAAGTACAGTGGACCCGCGACCAGCGATATTAATCTGTTCCTGAGAGCTCATCGTTTATCAAAATTATCGTTAGTCGAGTTAATTTTCCCCATAAGAAATAATGGAAATCAAATTAATCCGTTCCTGACACCCCAAAGTATTGGAAAAAAAAAAAATTTGCCACATGAAATATTAATTTTAATATACACAAACTGAAGAAGACATGCACAGTTACATGACACTTGCCTTTATTGAAGATCTGGTGATGATTGATGGGATGGGAGGAGGGGAGAGTGTTGATCTTCTTAGTGTTTAGAAGGGGAATCCCCTTCCATTAGGACTTGAGATAGCAAGTCTTTTTCTGGGGTTACTTCCCTTGTTCTTTTAATGTCACTAGGACCAGCTTGAGATCACTGGACTTCTGTCGCAAAAAAATATCTGTCCATAGAGGCCTGTACCTCCCTTTCCTTTATGAATTTCTAAATTTGTTTCACAACATTGTCAGTGTACAGGTTGCCAACACGGCTTGCAGTAGCTGTGTCAGGGTGATTTTCATCCAAAAAGGGTTTGCACTTTAAGCCACATTGCACAGATTTCCTTAATCTTAGAAGTAGGCAACTTCTTCAATTTCTCTATCTCCTCCTCGAAGCAGTTTCCTCAGTGTGGCCTCTTGCTGTTGAAGATGATCTAGCAGCTCATCAGTGGTTAGTTCTTCATTGTCCTCCTCCACCAACTCTTTCCACATCCTCCCCACTAACCTCCAACCCCTAGGACTTCCCAATGCCACAAAGGATTCCTCAACTGGCATAGGATTCTCAGGGTTTGCCCCAAACCCTTCAAAATCCCTTTTGTCTACACATTCTGGCCACAGTTTTTTTCCAAGCAGAGTTTTAAGGGCTTCTTATTTACTTCCTCCCAAGCCTTACCTATAAATGTTTACACAATTGAGGGTGGTTTAAAATGTCTTTCCAAAACTCTCTTAGAGTCAGTTGAGTTTCTGAGGTCGCTAACAAAGCACCTTTTTAAACATAGCTTTGTGTACAGTTTCTTGAAGTTGGAATGACCTGCTGGTCCATGGGCTGCAGGAGAGGAGTGGTATTAGGAGGAAAAAACTTCACCTTAATGAAGCTCATGTCCCTAGAAAGCGCTCTGCCAAGTCTGAGGATGCCCAGGAGCATTGGTCTAATACGGGAGGCACTTAAGGTCTAATTTCTTTTCAATTAGGTAATTTTTCACTTTTGGGGGCAAATGCATGGTGTAACCAGTCATAAAAAAAAGCCTAGTGACCCATGCCTTATGTTTCCCCTCCAAGCACACACAAATTAGCCTTGAGGACATTGTTTTTCCTGAACACTCTGGGAGTTTCAGAGTGGTACACCAATAAAGGCTTCACTTTGCAATCGCCACTAGCATTGGCACACATCAACAGAGTAAGCCTGTCTTTCATTGGCTTATGTCCTGGGAGTGCCTTTTCCTCCTGAGTAATGTAGGTCCTGCTTGGCATTTTCTTCCAAAACAGGCCTGTTTCGTCACAATTAAACACTTGTTCAGGTTTCAGTCCTTCACTGTCTATATACTCCTTGAATTCCTGCACATATTTTTCAGGAGTATGTAGAGACAAAGAACTTTGTCCTTGGAGGCGAAGAGGGGAATGTATGAGAGTATAGTTTTACCAACGCTCTTATATGGGTGTGAAGCATGGGTGATGAATGTTGCAGCGAGGAGAAGGCTGGAGGCAGTGGAGATGTCATGTCTGAGGGCAATGTGTGGTGTGAATATAATGCAGAGAATTAGTAGTTTGGAAGTTAGGAGGAGGTGCAGGATTACCAAAACTGTTGTCCAGAGGGCTGAGGAAGGGTTGTTCAGGTGGTTCGGACATGTAGAGAGAATGGAGTGAAACAGAGTGACTTCAAGAGTGTATCAGTCTGTAGTGGAAGGAAGGCGGGGTAGGGGTCGGCCTAGGAAAGGTTGGAGGGGGGGGTAAAGGAGGTTTTGTGTGCGAGGGGCTTGGACTTCCAGCAGGCATGCGTGAGCGTGTTTGATAGGAGTGAATGGAGACAAATGGTTTTTAATACTTGATGTGCTGTTGGAGTGTGAGCAAAGTAACATTTATGAAGGGGTTCAGGGAAACCGGCAGGCCGGACTTGAGTCCTGGAGATGGGAAGTACAGTGCCTGCACTCTGAAGGAGGGGTGTTAATGTTGCAGTTTAAAAACTGTAGTGTTAAGCACCCTTCTGGCAAGACAGTGATGGAGTGAATGATGGTGAAAGTTTTTCTTTTTCGGGCCACCCTGCCTTGGTGGGAATCGGCCAGTGTGATAATAATAATAATAATAATTTTTCAGCCGCTTTGTGGTCCGAACTGGCAGCCTCACCATGCCTTATCACACTATGAATGCCACTACTCTTCTTAAATCTCTCAAGCCAACCTTTGCTGGCCTTAAATTCACTCACATCACCACTAGTTGCTGGCATTTTTTTAATTAAATCGCCATGCAACTTCCTAGCCTTTTCACATATGATCGCTTGAGAGATGCTATCTCCTTGTATCTGTTTTTCGTTTATCCACACCAATAAGAGTCTCTCAACATCTTCTATCACTTGCGATCTCAGTTTCGAAAACATAGTTGCACCTTTGGCAAGAACAGCTTCCTTGATTACCGTTTTCTTGCCCACAATAGTAGCGATGGTTGATTGGGGTTTACTATACAACCTGACCAGCTCGGAGACACGCACTCCACTTTCATACTTAGCAATGATCTCTTTCTTCATCTCCATAGTAATTCTCACCCTTTTTGCTGTAGGGTTGGCACTAGAAGCTTTCTTGGGGCCCATGATGACTTATTTTGCAGGTGCAATCACTACAAAGGCTGTGATAATATGAAATGTTCTAATTGTATGTTTGGAAGCGACCGCAGTGGCTGGCTGGCTTGTAAACATTGGCACCCATGGGACAAGTGAGGCGCGCTCAGGCGACAGTGGACACGTCTCGAATGGAACGAATAGCGTTGGTTGGGTTTTTTAGCGCTAGTCGAGGCAAAATTTTTGCGTTAAAATGTATCGCTAGTCGGATTTATCGTTAATCGATGCCATCGTTGGTTGAGGGTCCATTGTATTCATTCAATCGAGTGTGCATGTTCTGATTCCAGTCCTTGATTGCTTCTTCAACCTTCATATTTAGGGTTGTTTTTTGTTTGGTGTGACTGGCTATAGCTGTTTTCAGAGTATTTTCTGTGTCAGCACTTCCCAACTTCAAGGTTTTGGATCTTGTTCTCGAGGATGGTGACCTTGGATTCATATCGCGCAAGTGTTGCTTTAATATCTTTGTTTTCATTTTCTAGGGTGACAGTGTAATTGCTAATAGCATCAGGAAGAATCATACCTGGGTGTTCTTGAGAGAATCCTTTGAAGGGAATGGAGTTGGAGGGGGAGTCAGCCATGTTTGTAGTGGAACAAAAGTAAAATTATCATTAGGAAACTGGATTGGTGCATGTAAGCAATACCAAATTAACTTGGGATGGCCTGCAGGTCACTGGCACCTGCAATTTGGTGGACTGGTCTTACAACAAATAAGTCTCGTGTCATGTCATAATTCGTGAACAGAAAAACTTCTGAAACCTGTCATAGATGTGAAAGTCCATTATGGTTCACTATAAAAACTCAATTAGGAGAAAAACACTCAATTAGGAGAAAAATTAAAGAGCTCACATAACCAAAAAAAAAAAAAATAAAGTAAGAGGGGAATGAAAAATGTTAGCTGTATTTTCAGAATTTCATATAATTTCTTGCTCGTTTTTCTTGCTAATGATACTTCAGAATAACAGCTTAGAACAATTCCCTATAAGCTATTTATACAGACTTATTTTACCGACATTATGAAATAAACTTAAGGCAGAATGTTGTGAAAATTACATTTTAACAGAATTTTAAATCTTTACAGGTTTGGAGTGGTTCAATGTATCTCATCCCCTGACTTTAGCTGGAGATTTGAAGGGTCGAATCGTAGTACTGGATTTCTTCACATACTGTTGTATTAACTGTATGCATATATTGCCAGACTTGGAGGCCTTAGAGAAAGAGCATCCTCCACAAGATGGAGAAGTACTAGTGGTGAGAATATTTTTGTGGCTAACAGTGGTAACATGCAACCATAAAATTTGAGTTAAAGGCATTTTAGCAGTTTGTAGTGCAGGATATTTTGAATTTTGTTAAAAATAAAATGTATATTTTTATTTACTAATTGGATGATGAATAAACTGTTTTGCATTGAATGCATTTTGTGTTATGCCAATTACTACCAATGACTGCTTATGTAACAAAGATTTTAATGTGAACAGAGAGGGTTGTGGAGAGCCTACCATTGATCCTAGAAATGTTCAAACCAGAATTCTTATTTGAGTCATTGAGTTGTGATATGTACCACTTATTACAGAACTACCAAGGACAACTTAGGTGAGCAGTAACACCTGAGCATATAACCCTTCATTATTATCGGTCATTTAATGATGGGTTGATTACTGTTCAATTCCTCTCTTTTTGTACTACTACATTTATAATATAAAATTTTATTTTGTATTAATAGTTACAGAATTCTCAAGCTGTAAAAAGTTATTGTGGCATCAGCAGACTTTATCATTATCCATTAATTCAAGAAATCTGTATTGAGGTGTTCAGAGATGAGTGATAGTGCCTACCTCACACCTGTGTACATGCTGGCTTGATTCATATATAGTATATCCTCCCCCCTAATTAGGTATTCCTAGTATGAGAGATGTGGCTTTTCCTTCCTGTTTTCTTTATTCCTTTATTTCCAACTACTGTTGAAATATTTTATACCATGGTAGCCATTAGAGTACAGTGGAACCTCGACTTATGAGTTTAATCTGTTCCGTGACCTAGCTCGTAACTGAATTTGCTTGTATATCAAATAAATTTTCCTCATTTAAATTAATTGAAATGCCATTAATCCGTTCCAGGGGAATTCTTGCTCTTGGGAGACAGGACAAAATACAGTGGACCCCCGCATAACGATATTAATCCGTGCATGAGAGCTCATTGTTATGCGAAATTATCGTTATGCGGATGAATTTTCCCCATAAGAAATAATGGAAATCAAATTAATCCGTGCAAGACACCCCAGAGTATGAAAAAAAATATTTTTACCACATGAAATATTAATTTTTATACACACAAACTAAAAAAGGCATGCACAATTACATGACACTTACCTTTATTGAAGATCTGGTGATGATTGATGGGATGGGAGGAGGAGAGAGTCTTAATGTTTAGAAGGGGAATCCCTTCCATTAAGACTTGAGGTGTCAAGTCCTTTTCTGGGGTTACTTCCCTTCTTCTTTTAATGCCACTAGGACCAGCTTCAGAGTCACTGGACTTCTGTCGCACAACATATCTGTCCATAGTGGCCTGTACCTCTCGTTCCATTATGACTTCCCTAAAGTGTTTCACAACATTGTCAGTGTAATAGTCACCAGCACAGCTTGCAATAGCTGTGTGAGGGCGATTTTCATCCATAAAGGTTTGCACTTTCAGCCACATTGCACAGATTTCCTTAATCTTTGTAGTAGGCAACTTCTTCAATTTCTCTCTCCCCTCCTCCAAACCAGTTTCCTCAGGTCTGGCCTCTTGCTGTTGAAGTTGATCTATCAGCTCATCAGTGGTTAGTTCTTCATTGTCCTCCTCCACCAACTCTTCCACATCATCCCCACTAACCTCCAACCCCAAGGACTTCCCCAATGCCACAATTGATTCCTCAACTGGCATACTCCTCTCAGGGTTAGCCTCAAATCCCTCAAAATCCCTTTTGTCTACACATTCTGGCCACAGTTTCTTCCAAGCAGAGTTCAAGGTTCTCTTAGTCACTCCCTCCCAAGCCTTACCTATAAGGTTTACACAATTGAGGATATTAAAATGATCTCTCCAAAACTCTCTTAGAGTCAGTTGAGTTTCTGAGGTCACTACAAAGCACCTTTCAAACAGAGCTTTTGTGTACAGTTTTTTGAAGTTTGCAATAACCTGCTGGTCCATGGGCTGCAGGAGAGGAGTGGTATTAGGAGGCAAAAACTTCACCTTAATGAACTTCATGTCTCCATAAAGTCGCTCTGCCACGTCTGTAGGATGACCAGGGGCATTGTCTAACACCAGGAGGCACTTAAGGTCTAATTTATTTTCAGTTAGGTAATCTTTCACATTGGGGGCAAATGCATGGTGTAACCAGTCATAGAAGAAGTCCCTAGTGACCCATGCCTTACTGTTTGCCCTCCACAGCACACACAAATTAGCCTTGAGGATATTCTTTTGTCTGAATGCTCTGGGAGTTTCTGAGTGATACACTAATAAGGCTTCACTTTGCAATCACCAGTAGCATTGGAACACATCAACAGAGTAAGCCTGTCTTTCATAGGCTTATATCCTGGGAGTGCCTTTTCCTCCTCAGTAATGTAGGTCCTGCTTGGCATTTTCTTCCAAAACAGGCCTGTTTCATCACAATTAAACACTTGTTCAGGTTTCAGTCCTTCACTTTCTATGTACTCCTTGAATTCCTGCACATATTTTTCAGCTGCTTTGTGGTCCGAACTGGCAGCCTCACCATGCCTTATCACATTATGTATGCCACTACACTTCTTAAATCTCTCAAACCAACCTTTGCTGGCCTTAAATTCACTCACATCATCACTAGTTGCAGGCATTTTTTTAATTAAATCCTGATGCAACTTCCTAGCCTTTTCACTTATGATCACTTGAGAGATGCTATCTCCTGCTATCTGTTTTTCATTTATCCACACCAATAAGAGTCTCTCAACATCTTCCATCGCTTGCGATCTCTGTTTCGAAAACACAGTTGAACTTTTGGCAAGAACAGCTTCCTTGATTGCCTTTTTGTTGCCCACAATAGTAGCGATGGTTGACTGGGGTTTATTATACAACCTGGCCAGCTCGGAGACACGCACTCCACTTTCATACTTATCAATGATCTCTTTCTTCATCTCTATAGTAATTCTCACCCTTATTCCTGTAGGGTTGGCACTAGAAGCTTTCTTGGGGCCCATGGTCACTTATTTTGCAGATAAAATCACCAAAAACACTGTAATAATACGAAATATTCCGATTGTATGCTTGGATGTTACCGCGGAGGCTGGCTGGTAAACAATGCCACCGGCGGAACATGTGAGGGTGGCTAAGGCCGCACATTAGACGCGTCTCGGACGAGCAGCGTTGAGCGGGTTTTTTAGCGGTATGCGAGGCAAAATCTTAGCGATAAAACGTATCGGTATGCGGATTTAACGTTATGTAAGGCCAACGGTATGCGGGGGTCCACTGTACTTCAATATAAAGCTAATATCAACTCTATGGCTTATATATCTATCACAGTTGATCTAATATGACATAATAAACAATGTAAATAACATAGAAACATGATATATACTCTAGAATTAATAAAATATGTCGTTATGTGATGATTGGTGGCGGCCATTCCCGCTCCCGCTCTGACTGTATCTTCCCATGCTTCCCCATCTGTGGTCTTATTATAAGAGAAAATGGAGCATTTGTGAGGCTAACTGCACTAGTTCACTAGTTTCATAAGGAAAATGCTGAAACATTGTATTTATAAATAAGAAATATTGTAAAAACATAAAACATTATTGAGAATGTAAAGAAATAAACTGGTTTTATGAAGTGTATGCACATATTTACCTTGGAGAAGAGGTTCTGTCCATGGCCCTATAAAACCCCAACAACAACAACAACAACATTGGAGGAGTTTGTTTCGTTTCATCCTTTTTCTGTTGCTTAATTGCTTAACTTACTTGCTACACTCTTAATGCTACACTTTATCGCTGAACTTAACTGCTACTTTTTTTTTTTTTTTCACTTTTCACTGATTTACTTGCTACACTCCTAATGCTACAACCCACAACCCACACACCTCGCTTATGTTTATCTATGATTTCATGCTTTAATTCCGTGGACATCATCCTCTTTTTCTTCTCAGCACTGTCCTTTGCAATTACTTTCTTAGGACCCATGGTTAGAAAAAAGAAATTTGGCAAAATAACTGCACAAAACGTAAGCAAAACACAAGAGAAATGCTTCCATGGCGAGGTAAACATGTGCACTGCTCAGCGAATGTTGTGGCGTTCGCTGCGCCAACTAGTGGCAGCATTTTGAAGCTTGCTCATTATTATTGTTATTATTATTACAGTGGAACCTCAAATTTCGAACGTATCGCTTATCGAACTCTTCGAAAATAGAACCCTTTTTTCAAACCCACTTTGCCCCTATTATCGAACTCGCCCCTATTTTCGAACCGCCGGGTACCGGACCTGTCCGGCAGCCCGCTCTGTCCGCGTCCCCATGCAGGCGCCGTGAGCCAGTCTGATTTTGTTGATGCTTGAGTGAACACTAACTTGCGCTCCCATTCAAACATTTTACGGTTATTTCATTGTGTTTAGTGCTTGTGGGACTGTGAAATAAGCTGCAATGGGCCCAGAGAAACTTGTTAGTGGTACCCCTGTGGTCTAGAAAGTGAGAAACACTATAGATGTGAAGAAGGAAATAATACAGAAGTGGAATGATGTCCAAATGTTTGTGGAGAAGTACCACCCTGAGCAAGCTGAAACAAGCCATCTTTGCAACAAGTTCAGTGACAGAACTATGTCCCATTTTAGGGAAATCATAGAGGCACCAGAAACAGAGGACTGTGGACAGTTATTTTGTGAGACAGGGGTCCAGTGACTCTCAAGCTGGTCCTAGTGGCATTCAAAGACAGAGAAAGGAAGTAACCCCAGAGAGGGCTTTGTTACCTGAAGTCTTCATGGAGGGAGATCCTCCTTCCAAACACTAACCCCAACTCCCTCTCTCCTCCTCCCTATCTTCCAGATGCCATCACCAATCTTCAATAAAGGTAAGTAAAATGTTATTTTATATGTTTATTTAAATTTACTAATACATAATTGAACACTATATTTGTTGTGTGTATACAAAACTATAATTAATCTCTATAAAATGTATTTTTTTGTGAATATTTTTGGGTTTCTGGAACGGATTAATTGTATTTCCATTATTTCTTATGGGAAATATTGCTTCGCTTTTCAGACTTTTCAAATTTAGAACTAACTCCTATAACGGATTAAGTTCGATATTTGAGGTTCCTCTGTATTATAATGGGAAAGCGCTAAACCCGTAGGATTATACAGTACCTGTGGGGGGAGGGAATGGAAGGTATTCAGGCTTAATTTAAGGAACTGAAGCACAGATCCAATTCCCTTGATAGAGAGCCCCTCACCAGTGTCAAGGAACCTCCCTTGAGGGGGAAGCTCATTCGTAACTTGGATTTTGGCTCATAACTCAGAGCAAAAAATCGACCGAGAGACAGCTTGTATCTCGAAAAACTCGTATGTTGGGGCACTCGTAAGTAAAGGTTTCACTGTACTGGAACTGGAATAAGTTATTTGTCATACTTGAAATAATTTTCTTTTATTTTAGGAGAGTTGTAATATTTTTTTTTTTTTAATTCAAGAATCTTGCATGCATTTCGTGATTTCCAGAATTCTTTTTATGTATCTGGTGAAGGAAAGGCTCAACAATGGTTAGAGATGAAGAGGAGAGGATCAGGGTGCACAGTATTTTTTTTTTTTTTAAATTATGTCAGGAGTTTTGTCTGATATGAGACTTGGGATACTGCACTAGATTACCTCACTGTGATGAAATTTTATCTACTTATTTTAGTGTTGTCATAGTAAAACTTTATTGTCTTACAGGTAGGTGTCCATTCAGCCAAATTTGATAATGAACGTGTATCTTCTAACATTCTGGCTGCCATTGATAAGTACCATATCCATCATCCAGTTGTCAATGATCCCCAAGGAAAGATGTGGACACAGTTGGGCATCACATGTTGGCCTACCCTTCTCATACTTGGTAGGACTCTGGAGGCACTTGGAGTTCTCTCATTTAAAAGAGACACATCGTATTGTATCTAGTTTGATAATTCACTTTTTCGAGTTAAAATGTGACATTTTTGGAAACTAAAGTACTTCAGCATTACCAAAATTAAATTCAGATGATAAGTTCACATAACTTTACTTGAAAGAATTAAATTGTTTTGGCAACACCCTCTTGCATCAACTGATGTATTCATTAACCTAAAAAAAAGTATAAATTAGAACCATTAATTTATGACTGTTAGATTTTATTATGATATTCAGTGTACAATATTTCGAAATGAGTGCAGTAACAAAAGAAAGGAGAATGTTACTGAAATCAGTACCTTAAAGGATTCCAATAACCTAAAGATAAAGACTCAGTCAAAATTTTTTATCACACCAGCTGTCTCCTACTGAGGTAGGGTGACCTGAAATTTTTTTTTATAAAGATGTGATGTAGGGCAAAATGACAGTAGTTTGTTGGACTACATATTGGTAGATAAAAAGCTGTTGGGAAGACTTCAGGATGTACATGTTTATAGAGGGGCCACAGATAAATCAGATGTCTTTTTAGTTGTAACTACACTGAGAGTAAAAGGTAGATGGGATTACAAGGAGAATGGAAACAGCAAGTAAGAGAGAAGTGAAGATTTATTAACTAAAGGAGGAGGCAGTTAGGATAAAATATAACAATTGTAGGACAGATGGCTAGTGAGAGTATAGGCAATGGGGTAGAAGATGTATGGGGTAAGTTTAAGAATATAGTGTTACAGTGTTCAGCAGAAGTTTGTGGTTATAGGAAAGTGCGTGCGGGAGGGAAGAAGAGCGATTGGTGGAATAATGTAAAGAGAGTAGTAAGAGAGAAAAAGTTAGCATATGAGAGGTTTTTATAAAGTAGAAGTGATGCAAGGAGGGAGGAGTACGTATATGGAAAGAAAAAGAGAGGTTAAGAGAGTGGTGAAGTAATGTAAAGTTTTGGAGTGAGATTAATAAGTTGAGAAAGCCTAGGGAAAGAGGATTTGTTAGTTAAAAATAGGAGAGGAGAGTTATCAAACGCAGAGTTAGAGGTATTGGGAAGATGGAGGGAATATTTTGAGAAATTGATGAATGTTGATGAAGATAGGGAAGCTGTGATTTTGTGTATAGGGTAAGGAGGAATAACATCTTATAGGAGTGAGGAAGAACCAGTTGTGAGTGTGAGGGAGGTGTGTGGGGAAGTGAGTAGAATGAAAGGGGGTAAAGCAGCTGGGATTGATGGGATAAAGATAGAAATGTTAAAGGCTGGTGGGGATATAGTTTTAGAGTGGTTAGTGTTTTTATTTAATAAATTTATGGAAGAGGGTAAGGTACCTAGGGATTGGCAGAGAGCATGCATAGTTCCTTTGTATAAAAGCAAAGGTGACAAAAGAGTGTAAAAATTATATGGGAAGAAGTTTGTTGAGTACACCTGGTAAAGTGTATGGTAGTTATTACTGAAAGAATTAAGAGTAAGATGGAGAGCAGGATAGCAGATGAACAAGGAGGCTTTAGGAAGGGTAGGGGGTTTGTCGAAAAAATGTTTGCAGTGAAACTTATAGGTGAACAGTATTTAGATAAGGGTAAAGAGGTATTTGTGGCATTTATGGATTTGGAAAAGGCATATGATAGGGTGGATAGGGGGGCAATGTGGCAGATGTTGCTAATGTGTGGAATAGTAGGTAGGTTATTGAAAGTGGTGAAAAGTTTTTATGAGGATAGTGAAGCTCAGGTTAGAATAAGTAGGTGAGAGGGAGATTATTTCCCAGTAAAAGCAGGCCTTAAACAGGGATGTGGGATGTCACCATGGTTGTTCAATATATTTATAGATGGAGTAGTAAGAGAAGTGAATGCTTGGGTGTTGGCAAGAGGTGTGGGGTTAAAAGGTAAAGAATCTAACACAAAGTGGGAGTTGTCACAGTTGCTCTTTGCTGATGACACTGTGCTTTTGGGGGATTCTGAAGAGAAGTTGAAGTTGGTTGATGAGTTTTGTAGGGTATGTAAAAGAAGGAAATTGAAAGTGAATATAGGAAAGAGCAAGATGGTAAGGATAACAAAAAATTAGGTAGTGGAAGATTGGATATCAGATTGGAGGGATAGAGTATGGAGGAGGTGAATGTGTTCAGATATTTGGGAGTGGATGTGTCAGCAAATGGGTCTATGAAGGATGAGGTGAATTATAGAATTAATTAGGAGGATAAAAGGTGAGTGGTGTGCTGAGGAGTCAGTGGAGACAAAGAACTTTATCCATGAAAGCAAAGGGAGAAATGTATGAGAATATAGTTATACCAACGCTCTTGTATGGGTGTGAGGCATGGGTTGTGAATGTTGCAACAAGGAGAAGGCTGGAGGCAGTGGAGATGTCATGTCTGAGGGCAATGTGTGGTGTGAATATAATGCAAAGAATCCGTAGTTTGGAGATTAGGAGGAGGTGTGGAATTACCAAAACTATTATCCAGAGGGCTGAAGAGGGGTTATTGAGATGGTTGAGTTAGTTATGTTAGTGGGCTCCTAACGGAAGTGAATGCCATGTTTGGAGCAGTTACAGAAACACACACAAGGGATGTTTTGGATAGAGAGATAAAGATAGAAAACTACAACATGTATTGATGTGATAGAATTAATAGATCACAGGGAGGAGTAGGAATCTATGTAAAGGATACTTTCTATTGCGCAGAAGTGCTGAACTCTATGAATGATATAGTAGAAATCCTAGGCATCAACGTTGAAAATAAGAATATGGTAATTGTCCTAGTATAAAAACCACCATCAGCAACTGCTGAGGAATTCACTGATCATTAAGGAAGATAGATAGCTATCTGGATAGGCTAGAAAATCCCACACCAAATATTTTACTCCTTGGAGATTTTAATCGTCTTCATGTAAAGTGGAAGATAGCGCACCGTAATGTTATACCAGAAATATCTCCAGGAAGCACCCTGGCCCAACAAATATATACCAGGGAACTAATGAGGCCTTGTGAAAAGTACTCATTAACCCTTTCAGGGTTTCCGACGTACTAGTACGGCTTACGCACCAGGGTTATTGACGTACTATTACGCTTAAATTCTAGCGCCTTCAGATCTAGTGAGAGAAAGCTGGTAGGCCTACATATGAAAGAATGGGTCTATGTGGTCAGTGTGAACAGTATAAAAAAATCCTGCAGCACACAGTGCGTAATGAGGCCTGGTCACAGACCGGGCCGCGGGGGCGTTGACCCCCGGAACTCTCTCCAGGTAAACTCCAGGTAATGAGAAAAAAAAAATTCCGACTGTGTTTTTGGTTTAAAACAGCAACTTTGCAGTGTATTTTCGTATGGTATTTATGGTTGTATTCTAGTTTTCCTGGTCTCATTTTATAGAATGGAAGACATATTACAGAAATTGAGATGATTTTGATTGGTTTTACAATGAAAAGTATCTTGAAATTGAGCTCAAAGTAGCAGAAATGTTCGATTTTTGCCAAAGTTCAAAAGTAAACAAATCATACCCTGCGTCCAATACACGTCAACTGGTGAGTCTAATGTTCTTTCACAAGTTCGCTGATGTTATGTGTACCATTTCTACACTAATGCAGTAGTCTGCATAACAGTAAATCTTCAATTTTTTTGTGAGAATAAAAATTCAAAGTGGAAAGCAAAACAAATGTAAGAGGGGGCCTGGGGACATGACTAATGAACAGAGAAAATGTTACTTTAGTACCAGGAATCTCCGTCTTGCTTATTCTGGAACCTATTTGGAAATTGGCATCTTTTGAAATTTGTGTCAAATTGGCAAAATTGCTAATTTTTGACCACTTTATTGGATAGTTGAAATCGGTAAATGGGTGGTTTCTTCTACTCATTCGATAGAAAAAGTGGTGTTCTAGCAAAATAGTTATAATTTTTGTTGACTGGTACAGTGGTCCCTCAATAATCGTCCATAATCCGTTCCTGGAAGTGGGACTATTATCGAAATGGACAATTTATGAATCAATTTCCCTTATAAGAAATAATGTAAATTCAATTAATCTGTTCCTGACACCCAGAAGTATTAAAACAAAAAAATTTTTACATGAAATATAGATGTAGTACATAAACAATACAATGGGAAATGATGAATTAAACATTAACAGAATAACACTTACCTTTATTGGCGATTCTTCTTTGTGTATGGAAGACTGGAGGAGACAGATTAGATGATTTACTGTTTGGAAGGGGAATCCCCTTCCATCAACACCTCGGGTACCTATTGCTTTTCTGGGGTTACTTCTCTTCTCTGTTTCTTAATGCCACTAGGACCACCTTGAGAGTCACTGGAATCCTGTCTCGCAAAAAAACTGTCCAGAGAGCTTTGTTTCTGGCGTCTCTTTAAAACTTCCCTAAAATGGGCCAAGACTCTGTCACTGTACAAGTTGCCGATATGGTTTGCAACATCCTTCTCTGGGTGATGTTTCTCCATAAATCTTTCCATCCTACCCCACATTTCAAAAATCTCCTTAATTTCTGAAGAAGGCACCTTCCTCCATCTCTCTTCCTCCTCCTCTGCAGCAAGATTCTGAGCTGCGATCTGTTGCTCTTCCTGCTGAAGCTCTTGCAGCTCCTCAGTGGTTAGCTCTTCGTTGTGGTCCTCCACCAACTCTTCCACATCCTCCAAACTCACATCCAACCCCATGGAACTCCCCAGTGCCACAATGGATTTAACAACTGACATAGGCTCATCAGGGTCAGCCCCAAACCCTTCAAAATCCCTCTTGTGGACACAGTCTGGCCACAATTTTCTCCAAGCAGAGTTCAAAGTCCTGGTAGTCACCCCCTCCCAAGCTTTACCTATAAGGCTTATGCAGTGGAGAATACTGAAGTGTTCTTTCCAAAAATCTCTTAGGGTCAAGTGAGTGTCTGAGGTCACATTCAAGCACCTTCAAACATTGCTTTGGTGTAGAGTTTTTTAAAGTTTGCAATGACCTCCTGGTCCATGGGCTGGAGGAGAGGAGTGGTATTCG